TACTAAGTCTTATTCAAAAAAAAATTTTTTATTAAAATATATTACCTATTTTTGGAAATGATTAGCAAATGCTGGTGATTTTTAATGGTTACATTAGAAAAATCCTACTGATTAGCTATAATTAGCTAATTGGTATTTATTCTAAATTATAAATTAATATAGTAATATATAAAGATTTCTTAAAAAAATTAAAATTTATAATTATTAAAAAAAAATTATAATATTAATTAATACCTAAAATTTAACTTATAGATTTAAAAAATAATTTAAAACTTCAAAAATCTTTTTTTAAATTAGCTTATAGAGTTTCTATCCTATCTAATATATTATCCCTTCAATGGTTTTCCTTCCAAATTTAAAAGGAATTTTACTTACACTTTAAAATTAATTTTAAATATATTAAAGATTAGTTATTATCAGTTATTAAACTAATAATATTATTATAATATAATTTATGATGTTTTTTAAGTAAAATCAAAAAAAATATATATTAATTAGTAACTTTTTGCATTAATTTAAGTTCAAAGTTTTAAAAATATTTTAATAAAAGTATTTTTTTTATAAAAGCTAAAATCTAAAATTTTTAATTTTTATTATATAATATTAAAAAAACTTTACAAAATATATAAATTTATATTTAAAACATTTATTTATATATTTAAATATTATTTATTTATAAAAAAATATAAATTTAAAATTGAAAATTTTGTATATATTTAATATTTTAATTATTAAAAATGAAATTTTATTTAAAAATAATTGATTTATAATAAATTTTATAACATATTTTAACTAAAAATTAAAAAAAAATTGTAAGTTTTTATTGATTACCATTTAAGGGATAATACTTATTAAAAAAAGCTTAAAAAATTTATTAAAATATAAATTAAAATGAATTATTATAACAAAATACAAAGTAGCAAGTTAATTAAAATTATAAAACATAATGTTATAATATTAATATTACTATTTATTATAATGATATGGGAGGTTTGCTAGGAAAATGGAGCTTTGAGCATTTTTATTAAAATTTTAATTTTTATTGCATTTTAATCTAACATTATCAAACATTAAAATGCAATAAAAATTAAAATTTTAATAAAAAATACTCAGAGCCCCATTTTAGTCCAATTTATTTAAGTATTCAAGATTAATTATTTTTTTTTTTTTTTGATAATATGAAGTTATACGACAAGAATGTAGAAAAAAGCATTTAAAAATTGCTAATAGTATTGAATTAAATTTTGATTTTTTGATATACTAAATTTAAAAGTAAGTAGATTATGTTGAACAGATACTTGTTATTAGAGATAAAGTGAAAATGAAACCTCTATCTAAATTTGGAGATATTTCATTGTTTGGGAAATAATCTGCATTGCATAACGATAAACCATTTATTGAAAAAAAAACCTGCTGTTTGACCTAAACTTAATATAAAATATTCGTTCGCTTTTTTTTTTTTTTTTTTTACCACATATAATGAATCCTGAAAACACCGATCCACAACTTCAAAAAGAAATTAGTTCTGATTCAAATGAGGACTCTTCTAACATTGCACCTTGTTCGACTAACACTAGTGCCTCTGCTACAATTTCTACCGCAGCGTCATCAACATTAGCTCACTTGGACGAGTCCAATGGTATTGTTGACAATATGGAAAACCAAGACATTGAAAATATTATTGAAAAACAAGAGGAAATAGATGCTGAGCGAAAACTCGATGACTGGATATCACCAAACAGCCCTCAAGAAGATTCTGAAGACGATGACACAAATACCGAGGAAGTACTAATGACAGGAGTCGCACATTCCCATGAACAAGAAACAATTGAAGTAAACGAGCCTTTGTCACCAACATTAAAACGAAAACAACGTATGGATGAAATTTTACAGCAAGAAGATGGAGAAAGTGAACTTGAAGACGAACAAATGACTGACATTGACCAAGAACTGGATCAAGAATCTGCTTCAGCACCAATACCTGAAGGGTTATGTGTTGAGTGTCGGGATCAGGTGATTATATATTTTTTTTCCGTTACATCCTGAAGTTTATATACTCACAAAATTTTTTAAATATTAATTGAATCTATAATTAAGGATGCATCGTTCTTTTGCGAACAATGCAATGAAGATTTTTGTGAAGTATGTTTCTCCATGATTCATCGTACCGGAAGTCGACGAAGCCATACATGCAAAAATCTGAAAAAAAATGTGAAAACGAATGGTAACGTTGCTGCTACGACAAATACTTCTAATGGTGACATGGATATAGAGGTAGTTGGAATGATTTTTATTCATTACTTTATATTAAAACTTTGAATTAAAAATTGTTTGTTTATATTAGGAATCAGCTCCTGAAGAGGATGAACAGATGGATGGACCTAAATCTACTAATATCATTTCAAGTGGGAATACGAGTTTTGGGGATTGGATTGAAGACCGTGCAAGATACATTCCACTTCGTCTTACTATGGAGGAGCGCAAGCTTTTAAGATTGTAATTATCAGATATGTTATATGTGGTGTATTTCTTCGATTCATTATCTTACAAATAAATAACTACATTTTTCAGACTAGAGGCTGCTCTTAACGTTTCAGGTTTGATTATTTCTTATATAATGGAGTTTTCTTTAATTGAACCTTCAAACTATTAATCTCATTATTGATGTAGAATACACGGATAAGATTGATATCTTAACATATTCAGGTAAAGCGCGGCGTATAGTACATCAGATCAAGGATTTATGTTCCATCTTATCTGGATTGGTGGTAAGTTTACTTCGGTTAATTTCCTTAAACAATTAAAATATCACTAATTTTACTTTCGGATAACGTTTTAGGTTGCAAGGTAAATCATACTAATTAACTAATAAGGTCACGTTTAGATTATTGTAACTCATGCTATTTTTTTGATCATATTTAGTGATTACAAAAAAGGACAAGAACTCATTGCTAATAAGTCCTTTGAAGAGAATGAAGAATTTTTCCAAAAGATATTTGAAATAGGAAGGAGGCATAAAATTATGAATCCGGAAAAAATGAGAGATGCATATGGCAAATTAATGTATATGTTAATGGTAAGAATAAATCATTACTAATTATATGTATTCCGTGAAATTTATTTACTTTAATGAATTTATTTAGGATTCTGTCATTCCTGAAGTTCGAGAAATGCTTGATTTTAGCTTAATAATTCCAATAAAGACGGTCTACGGCTTTCTTAAAGAACGTGATGGAGTTAATGTACTACATCATGATCTAATAATGGATGCAACCAAGGAAATTGTAGCAGGTGGAAAGTCACGATCGCAAATCAATCAAGAAATTCGAGCGAAAGAGAGGGCTATTGAAGTTATAAGTCGCAAATACAAAAATTATAAATTGTCACAGGAGGAAATTAGGCAATGTTTATACAGCATCGGAGATAACCATGCATATTTGAGAGCAAATCGGTATATAATGTTTTATTTATGTTTATTTATTTCAAAGCAATATTAATCATTCCTTTTTCACAGTGATTGTTGTGACCGTATGTTGCAATTTTTGCAAACGAGTTTTAGCCCTAATAAAATTGAACAAGGATATTCTCTTGCTATTAGTTCAGGACGTGATGGCGCACGTTTATCTCATAGTCACGAAACGCAATATTGTTATGCGTAAGTTTAAAAAACAATGACAAGAAAATGGCAACAAGTTTATTAATCATATATATCTACATCTAATTTTTATTTTTAAACAAAAAAAAATTAAAATTTAGTAATCAAACGTTACAACTTTGGCGCGAAATTCAGCATGAAATGTTTAAACTGTGGTCACTTGCTGATCAAGACTTATTGTCGGAAGATAATCAATATAGACTGAGAGATACTGGACAAGGATTGAACAGAGTACAAATGTGTCCAGCAGTCTCAAAAGTCATGCATTCTATTTTACATCGTGCCCAACAGAAAGCCGGATATTGGGTTGGAAGTTCAGTTATTCATTTGGGTGACAAAAATGTTCCAAATGCATTAATGTTCATCGATAAAGTATGTTTTCTTTTTTTCATGTTATCTATATTTCTTTTAAACTAATAATTTTTATTGGTAGTACAATCAAGTATCCCGGATTTTGAACCCGATATTAATATGCATAGATAATATAGCACCCGTCATCGCAAAAAATAGTGGATTACGTAATTATATTGAGAAGAGTTTTGGAAGCGTTGATCAGTTAAAGAAAAGTATATTTACAGATTTCTTCCGGTATGCTTTTGATGGAAGTGGAGCCGATAATTTTTTTGATGCCGGTAGTTGCATTGATGGACGACTAACAAGTGCATGGAATTGGTGCTCACTAATAGAAAAGAAGGCTTATTTCCCCGTGTTTTTATTAACAGTATGTATTATTATTAGTATATCAATTTCTAAAAAAAAAAGAAATTCCGGTATATTTTATTTAATATTCATTTTATATATAAATTTTTTAGGGATTTGTTGGATTTGATGGTGATGGATTTTAAATGTTATTTATGGTTGTCAAAATGTATGTAAGAATGGAATGATAATAAAATTTGTAACTGTATGCATAGAAATAAGATAATGTAAAATTTCAAAATATTCATTTATTATTGTCTTTTATTATCTGCATGAATTAATCGATATCCACCGTGCCGGTTCTTTAAAACGTCATTATGAGTATTATGAGATGAAATAGGATTTTAAAATATAAATTTGAATAAGCTAAATTTGAAATAGGATGCTCAATTGCCGAAAGGTATTTATTATTCGTACAAAAAAATTCACTAAATTGTGCAATTTTTTTTTTTTTACAATCATCATCCCCACCTCTGCATTTAATCCATACTTTTCACCTCATGAAATTTAATATTGTAACACTATTAATTGCTATTATTTATAAATCTTTTATAAAAGTTGGTTCAAAAGAAATATAATAATAACTCAATTACCATTTAAAAATGAAGAAACCTAAAAATAAAATATTCTTCTATTGTAATTAAATTCAAAAACCGTTCATTCCCAAGGCAAAAGATAAAAATAACACTTTAATAAGATCTACTTCCATATCTGTTACCACGACTCTTTGAGCGTGATCTGCTTCGATAATAACTAGATCTTTTCCTATCCCTAGAAAGAGATCTAGAACGACTACGATATGTTTTCCTTCTTTCTCTATCTCTATCTCTATCTCTATCTCTATCTCTATTTCTATCCCTACCTCTACCATTTGACCTAGATCTAGATCTATATCGATCATCGTTTCCTGATCTTTTCCTATCTCTTGAACTTGATCGAGAAATTGATCTACTTTTACGTGACCTCCTATCTCGAGATGAAGAGCGATCTCTTTTGTATGGTGAGCGAGATTGAGATGAGCGTCGATGGGAAAGCTTATTCAAACGTTGTTGTCTTTCATTATATGTTGATAATGATTTGTTTTTATTGTCTTTATTATCACCGCCATTTTCTTCTTTTGATTCTTCATTTCCAATGATATCATCCCATGTAGCCCAACTTCATATCAAGTTATTTAATATATATACATACATTAAGTGAAAATTTTGGTTAATAAATTAAAAAAAAGTATATATATATTGTAAAAAAAAATTCAAATCAAATAATTAAAATAAATAGTAAAATAATTCACCGATCGTCATCATCTCCTTCCTCCTCTTCTAATTCATCTTCACTTTTATTACTTTCCAAAGCTGATTTTTCAGATTTAAAGTCATCATTAACACTACCATTGTTACTACAACCTCCACCTCTCAAAAAATTGTCCTTTCGTTTTCTTTTTCTACCAAATTCATCCCATTCATCATCTTTCTCTGCATCTCTCGATCTACGATATTCAACTACCTCATCACGTTCCATGAATCCTCCACCACGTCCTTCTCTAGACCCTACAGAGGCTTCTAAACCTGGTTTAGCTGTTTTACATTGATTACATTCTGGACGTCGTGCCCAATTGATATTTGAACAACTTGAAAAAAAAAAAAATGTTTTTTTTTAGAGATAATTTATAATGTTTAATAAAATTAGGGATGTTAAACGGTCCTAAACGGTCCTAAAAGTCTCAATAAAATTTGCCAGTTCTAGAGAAGATTTTTATTTTACTGGCGTTATATATTACTTTCTAATGATAATGTATTAATTGAATATTTATTAAAAAATATATATTAAACTTATGAGGCAATCCAGAAACTTAATTTTTGTAACTAGGACCCGGTCCTAAGGAACGAGTCCCATCTTTTCGATTTCAAAGTTCATATTTCTTATTATAAAGCGATTAGACTTTTCTACAACTCGTAATTTCTAAATTTGTTCACAATCATTTAGGACCGTTTAACATCCCTAATTAAAATTAAAAAGAAGGTTATTAAATAAACGATAAAAAATGTATCTAGACTTACATGGGACATTTCCAGTCCTTTTCCGAGAATAAACCCTATAAACAAATAAACTAATATATTAAATTTTTTTATACTTGTAAGTTTTACTAGTTTTATAAACTTACTCCATAACGACTTGCAAAATCTCTGCCTACTTCGCTAGGGCCAGTACTACCACCACTTTCTTCTTGCCTTGACCTTCGATAACTACTTCCAACTCCACTAGAATACTCTCGATCTTTATCGTATCGATTTCCTCCCATTAAACTACAGATTAACCTACTACTAATGATGCCTATGCGATATAAAAATTGCTTGTATAGAAAAGGCTGCAACTACTGATAAAAAAGTTGTAAACATCAAGTCAAATATAATTTAAAGAATATGCAATTTCCAAAAAGTGAAATATAAATAAATAATACTTTTTGCCCATCGATCTGTGATAAATGTAACAATGTATAATGCATATCATAGGATAAAAAAAAAGAAAAAAAAAAAGAAATTAATATTTATGAGGAGAGTGGGATTCGAACCCACGCCTCTTGCGAGACCACGGCCTTAACGTGGCGCCTTAGACCGCTCGGCCATCTCCCCATGATTGGTTAAAAGGAACGGAATTTAATATTATTTGGATGGTCAAATAATTTAAAAAATGTTGAAAGAACAACTAAACCGTATTATTTATTCATCATTTATAAAAAAACATTAACTACATGTAATCTCTCTAAGAAATGATATTTATCGCATTTAAAAGACCTTATGTTCTTTTTTTTTTTTTTTCGTTTATTTTTATTTTATTTTTTTTTAATTATTATTATATTATAATTTTTTAACTAATTAAACATTTCAAGAACTATTTACTAAATATGTCATGTTAATGAATAAGAAAAATAAAATGATATAAATTTCAACAGTGATTTTGTTGAAGAAATAATTATAATATACATATATAATATAAATTAATGTATGTATATATTTTATGAATTATCTTTTACATGACTTCACATCTATTCTTTTGTTTTACGACCGGGGTAGGACAAAGAACGGCTCTGATGGCCTCGTCAAAAACGTTCTTTAATCCTTTTTGAGTAAGAGCAGAACATTCAAGGTATTTAACCGCTGCGATATCTTTGGCCATTTGAAGACCTTGTGGATATGTAATTGGGGATTGCGATTTTTGTCGCAACTTAATGATGGTCTCCTTATCCTCACGAAGATCGAGCTTAGTACCAACAAGGATAATGGGAATGTTGGGGGCATGATGACTAATTTCAGGAAACCACTGAAAGAAAAATATAAAAATATTCATTATTTATGAAAAGGTTATAATTAAGGAATTTAGCTTATAGGAATTTACCTTGCCCCGAACGTTTTCAAAGGAAGGAGGACTGACCAAGGAAAAGCAAATCAAGAATACGTCAGTTTGAGGGTATGAAAGTGGACGTAACCGATCATAATCTTCCTGGCCAGCCGTGTCCCAAAGGCCAAGATTGATTGGTTTTCCATCGACCATTACATTAGCTGAATAATTATCAAATCTAAAATGAAAAATAAAGTATGATATTTTAATCAACTTTAAACGTCAAAAAGTACCTTATATTCAAATTGATTTACGTACACAGTTGGAATATATTCACCAGGGAAAGCATTTGTAGTATAACTGATTAAAAGACACGTTTTTCCGACGGCACTAAATAAATATTATATGAAAAAGACAAGTATTTAATATTTGTAAAATAATATGAATAATTGTATTCTTTGTATCTGGTTATTTTTGTCTAAAGACTCTTATGTAGTCGCACGTATTTGTTTATTCTCTAGACTTTCATATATGTATTTTCAGGGGAGATGGCGATGCGCAAGTAAATTTACAAAAAATGCTCACCCATCACCAACCACAACACACTTGATGGCTTGCATCGTAAATTGATATAAGGTTGTTGATCGTTGGTTTTAGGTAAAAAGAAAAAAAAAGATTAGAAGAGAAGAAATATTAATTTAATAAATTTTTTTATTAAAAAATTTGCTATTAGGTTGTAGTATCCTTTGTAACTTTTAATAAAGAAGGAAAAAATGGTAAGTTGGTTTCTATGAGAACGAAACGTAAGGAAACGGAGACACTAAAAGGTTTGCTGTAAAGGAATTTGTCTGAACCAGATATAAATGTGATACCCTTCGGAGACTGTAAAACGTTCAATGTAAATAAAAACCTTTTTATATTAATCAGTTAATTTCCACCACAGCAGATCAAATTAACAACAGATCTTTAATTATCCATTGTGGAACTGTTGAGTAACAAAACAATAACCCCAATCATTCAACTATACTGGTTCTTTCTCTGTGTTACGATTCGTCATTACTGCGGTAGATTTCATTCACTTTTCAAGATCAGTGATCGTCACACAATTTTTATATCAACCGTTTTTTTGTTTGTATATATTCGATGGATTCTCAACTATCTTCTTCCTTAACAACAGAAGCAACTCTAGGAAGATCAGAATCTCCGTCACAAGTATTAACGACAGCATCAACAACCTTCGGGAAATCTATAGATTTTTCGGGATTTTTAACAAAAGAATTTAACGTTAAATCATGGATTAATGAAGCTTTGTCTGTTGCTACCTCCTCTAGCTCTAATTCTATGGTAAAACATAGAGAATCAGAATTATTAGAATTAGAAAATCATACTTCAACTCTTGTAGAAAAACTTCAATTTTTAAATCAAGAAATTTCGAATAGATTAGAAAGAACTGTTGAAGATATCACTAAATCTATGCCAAGAATTATTACAGATTTACAAGTTATGCAAGATGATGCTACAAAATTAAAATCTGGAGTAATTTTAGTGAAATCACAATTGAATAATGTAGAGGAAGATACAGGAAAAGCTTTAGATAGACTGAAGTATTTGGATCTAGTTAAGACAAGAATGGAAGCTTCTAGAAATGTTTTGAAAGAGGCTGAAAATTGGAGTAATTTAGAACAGGAAGCAAGTAATATATTTGCTTCACAAGATTATCAAAAAGCTAGTGTTAGATTAATGGAAGCTGAAAAAAGTCTGGTCATTTTTCAAAATACACCAGAATATGAGGAAAGAAGAAAATTATTAACGGAATTACAAAATCAATTAGAGGCAACGATTAGCCCGCAATTAGTTAATGCGTTAAGTCAACATGATATTGGTGCATGCCAAAAATTTTATCAAATATTTAGTCAAATAGGAAGAAAAAAAGACTTTTGTAACTATTATTATGGATCAAGAAAGGCTCCGCTTGTGAAAATGTGGCAATATGCTTTATTAACTGATATCCCTCCTTCAGTACCTGGAAATGCAGAAAATATTATTGGAACCGGTGGATCAGGTTCGTTTAATAACGAACAAACATCGCCAACGTCGCCAAAATCTCCAACTCCAAAACACTTTCAACAAAAATTCCAACTACAAGTTCCAAAGAAATTTGTAGAATTCTTGCAAGAATTTTATGATGAATTATTTATTATACTCAATCAAGAACATACTTGGTGCGGTAATGTATTTCCTGATACAAATGAAACTTTAATGTCTTTAATTGAAAACATTTTTAATTCTTTAAAGCCTCCTTTGAGTGCAAGGTTAGCAGGTTTGGTTGAATCCTATAATGAAGATTGCCTTCCGGAAATTGTTGATACTTGGGTTGTTAGCGAAAATTTTGGAAGGAAAATGGAAAAGGTTTTGTTTAATCCTATACAAATTAGTTCTGGGATGAGTTTAAATGCGAGTGGAAGTGTTGGCGGAAAAAAAAATAATGTGAGTTCGTTGGCAGATGCATCTATTAATGGGAAATCTTTATCCAGAGTGAATTTAATTACCTGGGGAAATGTAGTGTTTGAACCATTTTCGGAGTATCAACATGATTATTCAGAATACGAAAAAAATTATTTAATCATGTTACTTAAAAACACCATCACAGAGAAAAGAAAAACTGAATCATTAGATTTAGCAAAAGTCATGTCTGAGACTATTGGGGAGATATTTATGATGGCCGAATCTGGATTAAATAGGTGTATGACACTTACATATGGATTTGGTGGGATTGGATTAATTGAAGTATTGAATTTTTTTTTTACCTCTTTTATCAAGGAGTATCAGATACTTCTTGATCAGCTTAGATTGGACAGTGGCTTGGATGGAAGTTTTGGTGGAAAAGATGTTTTATCGGGAACATCGGCCGTGAATAAGGGCGGAGATAATTCAAATAATGATTTTTTTGATTTTGATCAAGATAAATTACAGCAAGAAGATTGGTCGAATTTTCATATTGGATTAAAATTATTAGCAACTTGTAGAACAACCTCGGAAAAATTAAGCGAATTCGAAGAAAAAGTAAAGAATAATTTAGCAACAGTTAAAGATTTAATAATACACGATTCTCTTAATGAAGATTTGGAATGGTATGAGAGGAGATCATCTGTAGCATCTTCATTAGAGGGCCAGAGTAAAAGATCTACTTTCACGGGATCACAGTCATCACTGCTGCTTCTTCGTCAATCTCCTTTAAATTCTTATAATTTGAATGAATTTCTAACTAATATCGAAACCAAGCATATTTTATCGCCTTCTGTTAATGTTGTTGAAATTTTTATCAGATCATGTCAAAGATTTGTATTTGATACAATATTTTTTCCTATAGCAAGACACCTTACAAATTTACCAAATATGGAAATTTGGAATAGCGTTGTTGAAAAAGTTCAAACTTCACCCTTTAATTTACAAATTCCAACTTTTAGTTTACAACCTAGTGAATACATTACAAGGATTGGGGAACATTTGTTGACTTTACCACAACAATTTGAAGTTTATGCTGATGATAAAAGCTTGGAATTTTCAATTAATTCATTGCCTTATAGCGATGAAAAACCTATTCAGGAGAAAGATATATATGATTTAATAGAAGATAAAAAGAAGGGTTCAATTGTTAAAGAAAAAGGAAATCCTGAGGAAATAGAAACATCAATTACGATAGTAGGTGAATCTAGCACTGTAAAAGAAGAAGTCTTTATGACACAATCGGAAGATGAAGAAATTTCTACAGAAGAAATTACGCATGCATGGATAATTTCTTTGGCACGTGGAACAATGCATGCAATATGTGAGAAAGTTCTCATGATACCACAACTATCAACACATGGCACACAACAATTATTAACTGATTTAGGCTATTTAACTAATGTTTTATCTACTCTTGATATTCCTCCTATTAGGGAACTACATAAAATTGTTAAAGTATTGGAAATGGATGAAGATCAAATTTATAAAATGTTGAGATATAAAGGAATAAGTTTACAAGAAGATAATGCAAATAATATTAATAAAGAATTTATTGATACAAATGATAGAGAAATTTTGACTAAAATAGCTAGTATAAAAGGGATAGAAATGTTAAATTTATAAAAGTTAATAATTTTTAAATATCGATTAATAAATTTTTTTATTATAATATAATTAAATAAATAAAATCATTGTATATAATAAAATTACAATAAATCAATGCAAGCATAAACTGATGTAATAAAAGTTTATTATATTATTTTTTCTATATTTTATTTGTTTATTATTCTTATTTTTTTTGTTAAAAGCTTAATAATCTTAACAAATTGCCGAATTTTACTTATAAGAACCTACTGAAAAGATCTTAATAAATTTATTAAACACCTTTATATAGATCGTATATATACATGTATTTTTATAAAATATTTATTCTTTATCTAAATTATAAGATTTAAATCAAATTATATATTATTATATTATCCTATTTTATATAATAAAAGAAGAAAGAAATTATCAAAAGTTAATTATTTCTTAGATTATTCTTAGATAGTTAAATGTATTAATCACATGATTTATAAAAATGTAAAAGTAAAGTTATAAATATTTATTTTTTAATTAATATATAATAAGCATTATATCCTAATATTAGTTGATAATTAAATATTTAATACTTATTTACCTATTTACAATATATTTATTATTTAATAATTTTTATTATTTTATCTATTGATCATGACCAAATATCATCATATTCTGATACTTTTAAAAGATTATAATATTAAAAATAAATAAAATTTGTAAAATGGTTATCTCTAGCTTTAGTATAAAAAATAATAAGCTATTATATAAATGAAAAAGCCTAAGTGGATTATCCTAGAACATTTTAATATATTAATATATTAAAATATTCTAGGATAATCCACTTGTATTAGATTAATATGTCCTAAGATGATATAATCTATTAATTAATATGTCCTAGGATGATATAATCTATTAATTAATATGTTCTAGAACAATATAATCTAATGACTAATATGTTCTAACAATAAAGTCTGCTTTTCTTCTCTATAACTTATTGGTTAGTAAATATGAATGAGATGTACACCTATTTGGTTATCTTTCAAAATACTGAAATAGTATAAAAAAGGTGTCAAGTGATGCAATAAATTTGCGATCAATTTTAGCTGACACTATGTTATAATTTTGGCTAATCTTTTAGAAATCTAGCTTAGTGATATAATAATGATATGATAGTGACTTGATAGTGTTATGGAACTATTGTGAAACTGGTAAGAAACTGTTATAGAATTGTCATAGAACTAGTAGGATGCTAGCTTGGATGCTGAATTATTATATCTAAAGTTTTGGCCAAAATTAATTGAATTTATACTGCGTCTTACTGTGCTAGTCACGTGATATTATTCCAACACTAGAATACCTTTACATAGTTGCTTTCCTTTTAATTACTATTTCTTGATTGCCGGCTGAGGCACAAAGTGCTGAATTTGCAATCCATCTATTTGCTAAAAATGTGTCACAATTCATTCACTCACTCTTTGATTATTGAGGATAAGATACGAAATGTTAAATTGGTGATCCAAATGCATAATCCTGCCTTTTATAACCCTCATAATTGCCAAGAATGAGGTATGAAGTGCTGAATTAGTTCTGACTGACGAAATTACCTTACTTAATATGACGAAATTGACGAAACCGAAATGATGAAACTAGTTTTTTATTAATGACGAAATTATTTTACTTAATTGTCAAAATTATATTTAACTTAATCTAAATTCCTTGAATTAAAATACATTAAAAAATATAATAATTTTATATTTATTCATATAAAAATATTAAAGAGACAAAACTTTTGACGAAATTACAATTTTTCAAAAAAGAGTTTAGTCAGGTATTACTAGTTCTGACTATACAGTTTTCATACCCTTTTTCTTATATTCATCTGATACTTTCTGCCTTTCTGACCTCTTTTCTGCCTATTGCCGGTAGTATCTATAAGCATAATTTTCTATTTTATTTTCTATATATTATTTTACCTGTAGATACTACTAAATTTATACTTTATTTTCACCCTTATATTTCTAGAACCTTTTCTTGCATAATTGCTATTCCGGCATACTTTTGGGTAATACCATATTGATAACTTTGGATACCTAGTATTTTGCTAGCAAGAATATTCGTTCAAAACTTTATAAAATTTTTATTTTGAACTTTGCAAGTTTCTCTGTTATTTTATACTATTTTCTTGCATATATATCATGTTACTTACGTAAAAAAAGCTCAGGTCAAGCCCAAAAATAATAAATAAAACCACTAACTAGGCTTTTCTTTGATTTAGCAGACCTTGATTTTAAGCTTGGCTATAATGATCATATATATTTTAAATATTTGTTTAATAGTAAAGATGATGTTACCCTTCTAGACACTTATCATCCTTAAAAGATTTATTCAAAATATATTATCTGAGTATTTGAAAAAAGTTTTACAGTAATCAATCATCCATCTGAAGTTTATAGATTACTCAATACTTACGAATGTATTGATGGGAATTTGCTTCTTCGCCTGGTTCTAGATATTGATGTGAAATAGTATTCTGATATTATGAATCCCAAATATTCTTTCTTAGATAAATATAAAATTTTTCATGAAAATTTATTATCCAGAATCTTAATTACTTATACTGATATTATAAACTTTGATTTAAATCATTTTATAATATTAAATGCTTTTGCCTTAACCAGTTCGTCTAATACTAATAAATGCAGTTAGCATATCATGTATCCTTATACCCATTTATTGATTACAAAGACCTTAAGGATTTTGTAAAAAAGTCACTAATAGAGTTGGAAAGTTATATTCAGAGTTTATTGATATTGGATTCTATAAATTTCGTTTCAGCTTTCGTCTTCTTAGATCAGCAAAGGAAGATAGAATTAAAAGACCTGTGATTTCTTCTGTTAAGAAAAAATATTACGAGTTAGAAAATTAGTTAGTTTAGCCTAAATCCAATTATTCTGAAATCTGATCCTAAACCTTTTCCTCTGAAAAGCTGAAAAAGAGGAATTTCAACTTATCAAAAATAAACACCTTAAGTAGGATTCTGCAATTCGATTTGATATTTGAATATTTGATTTGATTTGATCAAATTCAAATCAAGTATTTAAATATTTTAATTTGATTTGAATCAATAGTAAAGCTATTTCCAAAGCTTCAGGAGTGGCTCTTACTAAGAAAACTATAGTAAAAAGTGCTTTTGCAGCTTTGAAAATGCCTTTTTTTATTAAGGAACCCATAGTAAAAAATGCTTCAGTGACTTTGGAAATGCTTTTTTTACTAAGAAAACCATAATAAAAAGCGTCTCCATGGCTTCAAAAATGCCTTTTTACTAAGAAACCTAGTAAAAAAATGCCTCCGCGGCTTTGAAAATGTTATTTTACTAAGAAACCTAGTAAAAAATGTCTCCACAGCTTTGGAAACGTTATTTTACTAAGAAACCTAGTAAAAAATGCCTTCGCAGTTTCGAAAACGTTATTTTACTAAGAAACCTAGTAAAAAAACGTCTCAGTAGCTTCGGAAACATTTTTTTACTAATAAAATTGTTACGAAGCTGAGATAGTGATTATTACTAAGTTTCTTAATAAAACCAAAACCATGATAGTAGTTATTACTAAGTTTTCTTAAGTAAAACTGAAGCTGCAATGGCAGTTATTACTAAGTTTTCTTAGTAAACTGAAGCTGCGATTGCGGTTATTACTAAATTTTCTTAATAAACTGAAGCTGTGATGGCAGTTATTACTAAGTTTTCTTAGTAAACCGAATCTGTGATGGCAGTTATTACTAAGTTTTCTTAGTAAAACCGAAACTGCAGAGTTATTTTACTAAGTTTAATAGTAAAAATTCACCTGTTA